ACTGCCCACAAACCCATTGCAATTTCCAATACTTGGCAATTAAATCCATCGGTCTGATATACTAAAACTAAGACTAGATATTCCAAGCTTCATCATGTATTCGGATATTTGAACCTTTAATCGCCCCAGATCAAATGGCAGTTGTCAATACTCAAAAATCGAAATTCCTTAAATTATGCCATGGTTTACCCCCCATTACGACGATGTCGTCGTAATTTTGAGTATGCATCCGTTATATCAAGAACCGAACATGAGAAATTATTTCGTAAAAACGCAACATGAATCTCCAGTCGGCATGAATGAGCTGCGGTTACTACAGTATTCTTATGACGCGCTTCAGTGTGGCGCAAATTCATGTTACGTTCTTCCGCATATTGCTTCTTCGTTATATTTTTTCGATTGTTCTGTTCCCATGAAAAAAAGTACACCAAGTGTAGAGATATGTATGCGCCATGTTGACATGGTATACACCAGGTATGAGCCGAGATTTGCGCCCAATCCACACCATACACCACCGAAAATATATAAGGTTCGGCGCAAATTGAGCGCAAACTGGTGTGAATTGTCGTTGCAACGTCCATTCATATTGTTTAAAATGATTATGACAGTTCACACCAATTTATACTTATATATTTTCGGTGGTGTATGGTGTGGATTGGGCGCAAATCTCGGCTCATACCTGGTGTACACCATCAACATGGCGCATACATCGCTATACACCTGGTGTAGGGGACATTGCTGCAGGTTGGCTACCACTATTTGTTTTGGTCATAACTTTGTCAGGAGTGAACAATTAGAAGAGATTAAGATACCTTTGGATAGATAATGTCTTGAGCTATAATTTTGCTTAAGAAACATATGCAATTGCTTTTCAAGAACAAAATTTATGGTCAAATTTCTGAAGGTGCTGAAAATGGCGAAATTTTTTTTTTTGCTGCAGGTTGAGAATTTTCAAAATTGTTATTTAAAATGTAAAAAAAACTATAAAAATATGATATGCTTTCAATGTTATGATGATTTTATTGCTCTATAAAGCAATTTGGAGCCCAAAAATTACTCTAATTCATCAGATTCGTTGTCCATTTCCTGAATGGTAGTCCAATCATAAATTTGATTAAATAAATGAATTTTCGAAAAAAAGTCATCTTAAATGACTTATTTACTCTTCAATAATGATTCATAAACGAGAAAAACAATAAAATCTTTTATATTGTAAAAAATATCTTTTTTCAACCTGCAAAAAAGTCACTTTCTCAACCTGCAGTTTTATAGACATTTTTACCGAGACTCGCAATTTTTTTTCAACATCACAAAATGCACATAATTCTTGTTGAATCGTAAAGAGAAATGAAAATACTACAAAAAAACGGTTGCCCGACTCTTTTTTCAATGCAAAATAGTCACTTTATGACATTCGGCAATAACTAAAATGACAAGTTTTCGCACAAAAATTCATGGGCGTATTGGAAGTGTATCAAAACAAACGCCAGTTCTGTCGGAACAATTTTTAAAAAAGAACAGGCCTCAAAATTAGATTTTCAAAACTATTCCGATGGCGATATGATCACGTATAGTGAAAAAAAGTAACGATTCTCAACCTGCAGCAATTCTCAACCTGCAGCAATGTCCCCTACTTTTTTTCATGGGTTCATGTTGCATTTTTCAGTTTGATTTCATTCATTCATTTACCAAAGTGATTTCGATGTGCCGATAACACCAATGGATTTTGCACACCAAATACTATATTAGAATCCGAAAAAAAAATTGTTTAACTTTTTTCTCGATTTTCGGCTGTGTTGCGACCGTCTACATGGGAAGTTTCTATGAAAACGTCGGAGTGCCGGTGAAATAATATTGGTTTACATGATAAAATTTGCACATGGCCGAATTTTAAGTATTGGGCAAGCATAATTAATAAAACTCATCATTTGTACAATCGGCGGCTCCGAATATTTCAATTTAACACATTGGTTTTGGAAAAAGTAGAGAATGTTTGCATAAACGGTTAAAAATATTAGGTTCTTTCGAATAATTGTCTCAGGAGTTCATAATTGTCAGCATTAGAGAGAGAACATAATCGAGCTCCGCTTATTGTACAGCAACACCATGAACGAACGGGATATCTAAAACCATAGCCCATGGAAAATAACATGGATGAAATACGGCAGCCAAACAAACATTGCGAAATTGTAACGCATCTGAGAGAGTGGGAGAATCTGTGCTGTTCGCACAACAGCAAATATTCATAACGCATGAATTTTGCTTTTTTAAGTGAAACATACTCTACTTTAACGCCAACAGAATCATCAAATAACATAGTCGCCTTTTCAAAAATATAAATCGAAGAAAAAACATACTCTACTCTCAATCTCACCCATAGAAATGTGGTACATACTTTTGCATATAGTAATGATTATATGCAGCCAAAAATAAAACAAATGAGCAAATTGTAAATAGAAAAACTTGAATAATGAACATTATTTACAATTAACACAAGTTGATTCGAGTAAACTAAAAATAAACTTTGAACTGAGCATGCATAGCTGGTTTATTGTTCGTTAAATAATAAACTGGCTATTGACATCAAAATAATTTCACTCAAGTTGCGTAATGATGAATTTTCCGTATGTCAATGCAATCGACGACAAATCAATTTATCAACTCAAAAACCAGGTGGTGCTTTAAGTGAATATGAAGGTTATGATTTTATTAAAATGTTGTTCCGAATATCAACAGAAAAAAATGTGACAAATTCAATCTTTCATTGCTGTATGGTCGCAACATTCCCGTTCAATAGTTTTTTTTTTCATTTTGGCAATCTTTCTCTTACTTCTTAGAGTCAAGACAAATTTAATCCAAATGAATCCATATACAGAGATTTTAGGAAGAAACAAACTAATCCTAAAATTTCTGAAAAATCTCTCAATTAAATTTCTAGTTATCAATTTTACAGGTTTGTTTGTTTGTTTGTGTCGATTTGGCGAGCGTATTGAAAACAAACGACGATTCAAATGAACAAGAAAATGCCGAAAAAAGCGAATCCGAATCCGAATCCATTATGAACAACATCAAGAATATCTCAACTGAATCCAAAGCTAATAGACCATTGGAAGACAAGGAGGCATCTGGAGAAGAAACAAAACTTCTCAAGAAATTGGAAGAATCTTCAAGAGGCAAAATTAAGACATCCTTAATTATGAATTATTTCAAAGCTTCCGAACAACCATTTGGTTTGCTTTTCTTAGTGCTGTCTTTCTTGTTAGTTCAAATTCTTGATGGCGGATCCGACATATTTGTTTCACATTGGTAATACACTCTTTCTCATTCAATTGATTGTGAAAGCGCAAAGGGAAAAGTTAAATATGCAATTTTTCTGAAGTATGTTTTCATGGTAACCACACAAAATGAAGAAAACGAAAATTCCGAAACAGCAAAACACCGAGAAAAAAAACTCCGAAAAAAAATCCGAGAACCAAAAATGCAGAAAAATCAAAAAAATTAGTTCAAAGTCCCGTTTCATAGAACCGGACGGTAATACTATTGCTCGAAAATACTACTCATTCGTCTTCTATATCGCCAAATTGGCGACGCCAATACCTAGCAAATGATGCACAAATATATTTGTTGTTGTACTGAAGCGCTAAATGCACTGATAGTTTATCAGGGCGACGACTTCATCCGTAAGTGGCGTATTAGTAGTATTTTCTAATTGTAATATATACGTTACTATCACCCACTGGACAGAACATAATTGATAATTGTTGACCGTACCAAACTCTTGTTGACCTTACCATTCTTTTCACAGTCCGAAATAAAATGAAATTGGTAATGCCAACAGAGTTGCAGAGGATAGCGCAGAACTACCGCTTGCGAGTGAAGGTCTTCTGCTCTATCCTGTCCACCTATGTTGGCTTTACCAATTTTACCTTATTTCGGACTGTGAAAAAAATGATCAGAGTTAGGTGAGTGAGCTAATGACAGCTAGTACGTCAACGAGGTACACACACAAAAGCAAGTAGTTAAACGGCATCGCAAGTCGGGATAAACTGTGCGTATTTTCACGTTTTACGTGATTATGTGCATCCTAAAATTAGAACAATTACCAATTATGTTCTATGGAATGGGACTTTGAACTAATTTTTTTTTTTGGTTTTTCTGCGTTTTTGGTTTTCGGAATTTTTTATTCAGCATTTTGGTTTTCGAGATTTTTTTTTTCGGTATTTTGGATTCGAAATTTTCTTTCGGGTTTTTTTTCGGCATTTTGGATTCGGTGTTCTTTTTTCGGGATTTTTTTTTCACCGAAGGAGAAATTATTGTTAAATACGAAAAAGATAAATTATATGATCGCCACCAAGAAAACTGTAAATGAAATGATTGTGCTTGACGTAAAAATTGATAATGAAATTATTGAGCAAGTCTCTAATGTAAAATAATTAACCAAGTACCAGTATTCCCAGCACTGGGAAAAACAAATACACTAGAGGGTTAATGGAGTAATGCGTGTTTTTCGGTTTGTAGTTTTTGAAATCAATTTTCCATGAAAAATTAAACTTTGGTTGTAATAATAGTTTACGGCTATTGATATCAAAATATTAATATCAGTTGATTTTTTTAAAACACTTGTGTCGCAGTATGGTTACCGAAATTCCATATGTGACTACCAAAATTCATTCATTTACTCATTTGACATCCATATATCAAATACTATTTTTAGATTCTGACTATGGTCGGAGAATAATTCAATATGTGGTATATAAATAATAATAGAGTAGGGTGTGCTAAACAAGAGATCAATTTTAAGGATTTTTATTACATACGAGTTACATCTTTCCAACGGTACTACGTATTCCTTGATTAAACATGAATCATCTAATTAATTAATTACAAGGGAAAACCCTTGAAGTGAAATGCTCATAGGCTGTATAACGATTGAAATTCCAATCATAGTACGTACAAAATATTATCAAAATGTCTCAAGTTAACTTACTATTATTCACTTGTTACACATAAATTTGTATGACGAATAGTGATAAAAATAGTTAAACATAGTTACCATAATCAAGAAGTTCTTCCAAGGCAGAGATGACTTTAGCGCATCCGAGTATTTTTGTTGTTTTTTCGTTCGACTTTAGCTTTTTGGCCAATTTTTTTTAAAATAATATTTTGTGTAACATAACGAAGAATAGCTTACATTTTCTGCCCCCGGTATTTGCATTATGTGGTCATATGCACTTAGTAATTACGCGCATTGGCTCAATTTTGCAATATTACGCAATTTCTACTTTTGCGGATTTTTTCTTTATTTTTTACTAATATAAATGTGGTTTTTCAAAAACTGTTCTTTGTTATAGTATTACACAAAATATTGATACAAAGTTTTTTTTTGCCAAAAAGGTAAAGTATTACGAAGAAAAAAACAAAAAAACGACCCAAATACTCGGGTGCGCTGTAGCGCACTTGGGTGCCCTTAGAGCCTGTCCGTGCGCTCTTTGCGCCCTGGTGCAAAATTGCCAGGGCGCCCTTTTCTTAGGATGAAATGAAATAGACTCAAAATTATCTCAAAACGAGTAACTTTCTTGTTAGAAAAGTTCTGTACGCTATTGTGTGTATCGTTCATGTTATGAACTTCATGGTGTACAATACACTGTTTCGTGTATATATGAAAGACACGAAAAAAAAAAATCCAAAGAGCGCGCCGAAGGCGCATGAGCCAAATTTTTTTGTCATTTCAAAAATATAGCGCTAGAATACACATGTTTACTGAGAATTACATGGAAAAGGGTGCTCAAAATAACTGAATATATTTTGTAGTCGGTTGAATAAATACTGAAATCTTATTGTTTAATATTTTTAAATTGGTAAAAAGCGCTTTAAATACAAGTGGCACTTGAATATATATATAAGCTGATCAAATGCTTTTGGTGAATTCGGCGCTCTCGTCGACTGAATTTTTCTATGTATTTTTGGAAAATTCAAGCAATTTAAGCGCTCCAATTTTTCTGCCAGTTCGCACAAATTTTAACGCTCGCGCGCCTTCGGCGCACCACTTGCGCCCTATCTGGGACAGGCCCTGGGTGCCCTAAAGTCATCTCTGTCCCAAGGCCATACCACTCGATCGCTTATTATGTTTTCCAAAAATGATTCGAATAACTTAAAATTTAGTCACTTTATTCAAATTGTTGTTCAATCAATCCAAAACATATTTTCAAGTTTTTCACTTTACTTGAACCACGACTTATTATTTATTTACATATTTTCGTCTGATAACTGCTTTAGCGATTAATTAAAAGCTCGATACGTTATCTAAATAAGAAATGAAGTTTTTTTGTCATGTGATAGGGTGAAAGTGGGGATTTCGCACTCGAATAAAAATGGATCTGGAGAAAATGAGCATTATTATGTCTCAAGCATTCATCTATTTAGAAGAATCAGTTTGGGCGTGAAACGGAGTGGAGAAATTAAAATTGTTTATATTAAAAGTTTACTGCGAACAACATTTCTTTTACGCTAACAGCAATTCGTACACGAACGAGTCAGTGTGACAGTTGGTGTGAGCGAGACAAAGTTTGACAGCAAACAATTTGGTTGTGTCACTTTAAATGTTCTTTGAATTTTAAAAAGCGATTATTTATTTTTGTGTTCCAAGAGTAAATTTTGGGATAGACGATAGAATAGTAGAAACAAATCCAAAAAGTGTGATTAAATTTGATCAAGTGTGTCAAATGGACTTGTTGTAAACAGTTACCAAATTGTGATAAGAGGACAAGAATTTCAAGTGTTTTTATTTCCTGTTAGGTAAACATAATTGATTTATTAAATTGCAATCACTTTCAATCAATCACGAACCAATGATTTTCCTTTTCTAAGCAATTTATGTGTAAAACCACTTTCAATCAGTATTATTATTTTTGAAAATTGTTGAAATAGTTCAAATGATATTTGTATTGACGAATGAAGAATTTCCGTTGTCATTATGGGATAAAACCGAACTGAAGCAAATATTTCCTTTGAAAACAGTCAAAAGACAAGATTATTCTGTGGTTTGTCTTTGATTCACAAATATATAGAAAGATAAAGCTATCGTTGATTTTTTATCTTTGGGACTTGAAACGCATGACTCATTTAGAGTTTACAAAATGATACATAATACAAATAAAAAAAAAAAAATAAAAATGTACATATGTTTACTATCAATCACTTTTTTATATTATTTGCGAAAAAAGTTAAGATTTGTTGCGCATGGGTCATGCATCTATCGTAACCTCCCACCAAAGATCTCGTAGCTTAAAATAATTTGCACATTTACTACAGCATTCAGAACATTTTTTGATAAGTGTGTGTCTCGTATCGCACGATAAATTGAAGCAATGAATGATAACATTCCTGCAAAACACATGAATATGGATGATTCAATAAAGTCGAGATAAAATGAAAACATTTCCATACATTGTGATTTATATCAGTGTTTCCTCAATGAATCTGATAACGCTCATTCGAATGTTATCGCAAACAACGCAATGTTATTCTATTTTTTGCTAACAATACATCATGCGATTGACCGGAGAGAAAAGAATTTCGAAATTTTATAAAATGTATTTGTGTTTTCAGCCATTAACTATGGATTCAGAGCGAGAACCGTTGCTGAAAAATAAACAGTATAGCCAGAGTGAGCGATCAATTGAAGATAATAATAATAGTGGGTTAATTTCATTTTTTTTTTTTCAATCTGTTCAAGTTCTTATTTCTTTCAGATTCATCATCAGATGTATTGGACAGATATAATCCACATGCACTGGACCGATATGATCATGGATATGATCCACATGACCATCGAGATGTCGAACATCCCACATCAAATACCGAAACCATGATCCATCTTTTAAAAGGAAATATAGGGACTGGTATAGAAAAAACTTGTTAAAATCAACCATCTCACCGCATTTATTTTATCAAACTCATCGTAGGTATCCTTGCAATGCCTCAGGCTTTCAAAGATTCTGGTTTGTACTTGGGCTTATTTGGAACAATATTAATGGGGCTCATTTGTACGCACAACATGCATATGCTGCTCGAATGCACTCATGAACTATGCCGTAGGAATAAAGTAACTTCAATGGATTATTCTGTTGTCTTATTCAGTGCATTCGAAACACGACGACTCCAAAAATACGCTTATGCTGCCAAGTAAAATTTCATTTTTTTTGATTATCGCATGTTTTTGATTAATTTTCTTTCAGGTTTCTTATAAACACCTTTTTGTTCCTTTCACAACTCGGATTTTGTTGTGTATACTTTTTATTTGTGGCCACGAATTTACAAGATGTAGTCAAACATTACTGTCATGCGATTGATGTGCGTTATTTTTTACTGATGTTGTTGCTGCCAATGATTTTGTTAAATTTTTTGAAGAATTTAAAATATTTGGCGCCAGTTTCGATGTTTGCATCTATTTTGACCGTGATCTGTGAGTAGAGCGCGCGAGTTTTAGCTTCGAGTCTTTAACATTTCTGTCTTTTTCTAACCGTTTTACTATTCCAGGCATTGTGATCATATTTTATTTCATACTCAGTGGCCTACCCAAGATAGATGGTGTGCCAAAAGTTGCAACATGGAGACAGCTTCCGTTGTTCTTTGGCACCGTAGTTTATGCATTCGAAGGGATTGGTGTTGTGCTTCCGCTGGAGAACAATATGAAGACTCCACAAGCCTTGGATGGATTAACCGGTGTTTTAAACACAAGCATGATCATTACGGCAGCACTCTACACAGCAATTGGATTCTACGGTTATTTGAAGTATGGCGATGCAGTTAAAGCAACCATCACATTGAACTTAGATCCAGAATATATGTAAGAATCGACTTGGTTTATTGCTTTAAAACGCTTTAATTGTCATAAATATTCCATATAACAATTTAGTTTGGCGCAATCGGTGCGTGTAATGTTCGCAATTGCCGTGTTTTTATCGTATAGCCTTCAGTTTTATATTCCGATGAAAATAATTGGGCCATGGTTTCAACGCTTTTTCAAACAACAACATCAAAAACTTGGTGATGGCATTCTGCGGGTTGGCTTAATTATCGTAACGTGTAAGATTAGAAATGAATTTTCCTCGAATTTTTGCTTTTGTTGACATTTCGTTTGTAAAATACAGTTATTCTAGCTGCCGTCGTGCCAAAACTTGGCCCAATCATTTCCTTATTTGGAGCTGTATTTTCATCATCACTTGCACTATTGATTCCTCCGTTGATCGACTTTTTGACATTTGGCCTGCAAGGAATGGGACGATTCTATTGGAGATTGTGGAAAAATATTGCCATATTTGTACTTGGTGTTCTTGGTTTCATTTTTGGCGCCTACGCAAGTATCGTGGAACTAGTAGCCTCAGATCCAATCGAAGATTAACATTAACTTGCATGGTGATGCAAAACAGAATGAGCCCAGAACGAAAAAAAATCCAAAGCCATGAGATTATTTTTTAACACGAAACATCGTAATTGATATTTATTCATAGATGATAATCCAAATCTGCCATTTATTTGTCATGCACAAATTATTGACTTATTACTTCCCGACGAGAAATTTGCGGTGAAATAGGTGTACGTCGACTATCCGTCGCATATCCGTTTTTGAGTGCGGATACTCGCAATGCGAATAGGTATCCACAATAAAAGTTGCCGCAAAATGTTATCGCTGAATACCCTGCGACTATTCGCGCTGCGATAAATGTGAAGTTGTAACTGAATCGAGTGTGATATTTCGACTTGAAACTTCGTACAACCAACGTGAAGTTGGCTGCGTTCGACGGACTTTTTCGTATTGCGACTATACGTAGAATAGTCGCAATGCGATATTCCGCAAATTTCTCGTCGGGCTTATTCAATCTCATATTGATTATCGTACAATAAAATACAATCGTTTATAAGTTAATATATTTATTGATTTATTATTTTGTTTGACAGTCATCGTTGAGTCACTTTCTTTCGTTTTTCGAAAAAAAATTAACAAGTGATAAAAAAAGGTGATCAAACGTAACTTGAAAAAAAATGTGTCATACAAAAAGAATGTGTCAGTACTATGGTTTATGACACTTATTTGATGAAATAAAAGAAAATGCTGCGACAAATTCTAGAGAGTTTGTGCAATTTGATCAAATTCATTGACAAGTTCAGCAAATTCTGGCATCTTGCATTTTTGCAAAGCCTCTTCCTTCGTTAGCCAACGATATTTGCTATGTTCATCGGAGTTCAGTTTGGGTTGTTTTGTCACATCTTTCAGTTGAGCAAGCCAGAAAACTACCGTCTTATCCTTTCCTTTTTTTCGTGTGAATTGATTCATTTGGTGTTGAGCGTCATAAATACTTAAATCGTCAGCCATGTAACCGGTTTCTTCGCTCGTCTCACGTATAGCAGCCATCAAAAAGTCTTCACCGTCATCGATACGACCTGACGAGAAAAAAATGGATAAAAAAAACATTTTATTATTACGATTACTCGCTGATTTAAGCTTGTTATCAAATTTAAACGTGCGGTTTATTTACTTTTGATAGTAAAAGTTATTGTAACACTTAGTTGTTGTATATAAAAAAAAGTTCGTTCCCCAAATTATATGTGGTAAACACATTTTTCTTTGCTAAATTAAAGACGCAATGAAAAATATCCCAAAAACATACCTTTTGGTGGTGACCATTCCTTGTTTTGGCTATTTGGTTTCAACATCAAGTATTCGATTCTATCGTTGATAAGTAGTGTAAATATGTCTATTCAATCAACACATAGATGCCAGAGGGGGGTTTGTTTCAGTGCAAAATGCACTGAGGGGACAATAGAGAAGTAAAAACCAAAAATTTTTGAGGGGAAATGTGGAAAATCTGAACATACGAAAGGAGAAACAATATTTCCCCACATTTCCATCTAATTCGACGTATGCGCATATATACAAGATTCAACATTTCCCCATCATTACATCGAATGCGCACACATGCACACATTTTTTTTCTCCTCCACAACAAATTTCCCCACGCACATGTGATAATTGTCACGCAATGCTTGCTCTCCCTTTTTAATACATTGCATGAATGTTGAAATTGATCAAGTATTCTTTTCAATATTCATGTCAATAAATTTCAATCAAGTGTCACACGTACGAAGCAGACAAATGTTGGACATCTCAGTTAATATGGTAAGAACGAGATCAATGTCAGCAGAAGAGGATTCGTTGTCACTCACAAATTCCATCTCATCGAGGTCGTCACGAGAAACCTCGAGGCCAAGAAATTGTTTCAAGCAAATCTTCCAACGCTCGAGCACGAATAAACGACCATTGTCTTTATCAATCGGACCAACTGAAACCAGTGAAATACTACCCATGGAAAACCAACCACCACCACAACCACCAACACCACCACCAATGGAAATACAACTACCACCCAGAACCCGAATTATAAGCAGAGTGTTTCGATGGATCGGATTTATCTGCGCGAAAATTCCAATCGCATTTGGAATGTTAGGTATGTCATTCAAAGGCAAATTTCATGTTTTTTTTGTGGATGAAAGTAATCACTTTTTTCTTTCATTTTCAGGTGGCTGTTACGCGCTGTATCAAATCTATGAAACGATTGGAGAAAGCCAAATGGAGAAATTGGAGTGCAAGATTCAATGCATTCCCAGCATAGAAAGCAGTCATTGGCATCGTCACAATAATAGACTTCACGAGCGTTGGGTGTTGGAGAAATGTGGCACCATAAGAATTGTTCTTGAATATTTGAATGGCATTTTCGCCAACAAGCTTTTTCGTGACAACCGAAATCAATTTGACAAATTTCAGCATGTCTCGCTTGTTTCGATGTGTTTAAATATTTCGGTGAATTTAAATTGATTCGCTGATCAGGTTGTCCAGCATCATGAATTCGATAAGGTTTTTGTTGTTGTTGTTCAACAGGAACAGGAGTTAAATAAGATGTGATAAGGTTTGCACCCACTAGAGCCATCATGACACCTATTAATTGAATACTCGCATTAATTCCATTTTTCACAAGTCTCACTATCATATTCTTATTCCGTTGAACGTGTGTTGGCATTAGATCATTAATATTCATTATATCTTGAAAAAAATCGTTTACGCGATGTAGATCTTCCGGGTCGATATTGATAGATATAAATGCTTCATTTTGAAATATTTGAAGCGCAAATATAACCGCGAATAAACAGAATATTATCACTGACACTTTCATTTTAATTTCTATATTGTCTGAATTTACAAAAAAGAGACGTTTGATTCGACTCAACTCTAAACTTGAATTAAAAATAATACACAATTCTCAACAAATCAGATGCAATTTTTCTGTTTAAAAAATTAAACTCGAACACATCTGTTGTGATATTGCTTCTGTTCTGTTTTCAGAGTCTTGATATTTATCGCTCTTCGGTAATCTTTAGAGCAACGCTCTTGCTCTCTACAATTCTCGATAGAAATGTATTTTTTCCAATCCATTTTATCATCGCGCTTCTCTCCACCTCTCTCTCTCTTTCTCTATCTCTCTCTCTCTCTCTCGCTTTGTTTCATTATCAGATCAGAATGCTTTACTTCGAATAAGACCGAATTGAGCAAAGAAATGATTGTTTTGTGAGCTCTGTGCAACTGTGCATCGACAATTGTCTAGTCCATGGACCGTAGCCCATATAATACACATTTGGACGTCGCGTTCGGAACAATCAAATCACATTTGAAGCGTCAATTTCTTTGCTCACACACATGGGCAACTTATGGTACTTCTTTCATGTTTCATGCAAATTGCAGATTTTTCTGCAACTCCATTCACTTGGAGTTTTTTATAAAATAGAAGTGAGTCTAGCAAACTTGCCAGGTAATGACAAACACGAAGGCGAATGAAATGTTCTGTCCACAGAATATGACTAATGTTAAAAAAAAACGATTGTATGATGCAGCACAAACTTAAGCATTGGTCAATATTTTACAAGTATCATTAATATACTCACTTGCTTCGGAAGTGAATTATGATTGTTTTTTATTCAGAGTGTTGATATGATATGGATATGATTCTCACCTATTGCTTCGCTTAACACGAATAACAAGAATAATAACGCTGACACTTTCATTTTGATTTATTTATTAGATGAATTTACGAAAAAAAAAGAGATGTCTGATTCCACTCAGCTATAAACTTGAATTAAAAACAATGCACAAATCTCACCATTCAGATGCAATTTTTTATATAATCGAAAAAAAATTGGAATTTCAACACAAGTGTTTTGATATTTCTCTATAAAGGTCAGATTCAGAGTCTTGATATTTATCGCATATGTTCATTATTAGAATATGTAAAGCGTATATATGGCTTATAGTTTTATTCGGTGGCTTTATGGCATTTTGACAATTTACCTCGTATAGCACAAAACCTTTGCACGCCACCGGTTTTATTTCCAAAGAATCAAATATATTGATGCTCACTTGGCATGTACTATGAAATTTGACTATTCAGAAATGTTCGAGTTAATGTACTCATTTCACATGACATGTGAAAATATTCCCACGCATTCATTTTTTGATATCCTCACGCAATTTCAACGAATCTATCGCGAGTTTTCGCTTTACCTGGAAAATTTAAAACCGATTCTTTCATTGTCTTGCAATTTGAGGTTCGATTTCATGCAAATAGTTCGATTTGAGGTTTGATTTCATATAAAAAAAGTTCGATTTGAGGTATCGACACTTGTCGATGTTGAACGCATGTTAAACACCTTAAAACATGTGAAGCGATTGGAATTTTTCGCTTAGTACACAAAAAACTATAATTCACTTTAGTGCAATCGTTGCTCAATTGGCATTGAGTTATTCAAAATGACAAAGACTATATTCTTGCT